CCTGTCTGACTAACCACCTGGTGTTCAGCTCATCTTTAAGACTAATCATCTGTGACTTCTCAAAGAGTTTATTTTGATAGCCTTGAAGAGCCCTGAGCAGACAACAAGGGTGCAAAGCTCACCACCTCAGTTCCTGCCAGACCATATTGTAAGGACTCTGATAAGGCAACCTCACAGAGAAGAGAAAAAAAAAAAAAAAGGATAAACAGACACAGCTGCTTCGCAGCTGCCTCCTGTTATCAGCTTACATTAACTGTTTAGTTACCCTTTTTCTATAAAAAACTCCAAGCCCCTTAGCCTTGGGGCTGATACTTCTCCTTTCTTCTTCTAGTGTTGCACCCTTCCCACTTTCAGGAAGATAAACTTTCTTTCTTTGAAACAATTCTAATCTTTGTGTTGAGAATTCTTTCTCAGACTGAGCTATGAGTCCCCTCCCTAATAATTATAATGAGGGGAAAGTCACAGTAAGGTAGTGTGGCAGTCCTTTTTGGTTTGAAGTGGTTAGATCTTTGTGGTGAAGTTCTTTATCAGCTAGTGTCAGCATCTTGCTTTAGTGATCTTAGAAAACATTACTCAAGAGACAGATGGTTGGGCCCTCACTTTATATGGGTATGGGCTGAATTCCAGCAGCTAGGAACTGATTTTTTTCCTCTTTTATGCTGGGTCATGGTGTCTCATGTTGCCTCCCTGGGTCATAAGTGAGGCCTGAGTCCTGTCCCTATACTGTCTCAACCCCATAGAGAAAAGGCAGGGTTTGGGAGGCTTACAGGGAGATTAAAAATTAAAGGAACAATTATATTGGGAGGAAAGTGATTAGTCTTACTCCTCTGGTTCTCCCAAACCCTCTTGGCCTCTCAATCCACTCCTCATTAAAAGGAGTTATTTCATTGGTGAGTGACTGACATGGGGCTACCTTTTTTGATTGCATGGAGTTAACCCATTTAAAGTCTCCCATTGTCTGTTCTGCTTCTCCACTCCACTTTAGTGAAAAGTAGCAATGGCATACAAGAAAGTCTGTGTTTTTACACTAAGCCATATTCTCCATGGTCCAGTGAGACTGAATTCCAGCTGCCTGACTCCCACTAATATTTTCTTGATTATTTCCAAGCTTGGAAAGGGAATAGGTGTATAAATTATTGGGCCCCCTTAAGCCCAAAGAAATTCGATTAAAAAATTTATAAAAGGAATGTTAGGATATTTTAACAACAAAAAAACTGAAGTAGAATAACAAGCCAACACAAAAGCAATCATAAAATCTAAAACCAAAGAAAAAGGATTAAAATTTAATGGAAAGATAATGAAAAATAAGATGATATAGTAACATAAAGTAAGTAATATAAATAGGGGAAAAAAGAAAAGTCATATAGTTAAAGATTTAATAGGAGTTGTAAAATTAAATAAGAATACCAAAAAATTTACAACATATAGACAGGGTTAAAACATTTAAACGATTCTGAAGTACAGGGATTAAAACTTTAGAAACAAAATAACTGAAAACAAATGGTGAACTGAGCCAGGTGTGTTGGCTCAGGTCTGTAATCCTAGTACGCTGCGAGGCCGAGGCCAGAGGATTGCTTGAGGCCAGGAGTCTGAGAGCAGCCTGAGCAAGAGCAAGACCCAGCCTTTACAAAAAAAAAAAAATAGAAAAGTTAGCCAGATGTGGTGGTGTGTGCCTGTAATCCCAGCTATTATACTTGGGAGGCTGAGGCAGAGGAGGATCACTTGAGCCCAGGAGTTTGAGGTTGCAGTGAGTTATCTCTGATCACACCACTACACTGTCGACCAGGAGACAGAGGAAGACTCTGTCTCAAAAAAGAAAGAAAATGGTGAACTGATTCCTTATCAGAGTCCTGAGTTGGCTCAGACATCCCCAGCCATGGTGAAGTTCCTCCTGAATGGGGAGTTGAGGGAGCTAACACCCCCAATCCTCAAGGCCTTTAGTTCTTTCCTGGAGGCTGTAGGCCATGTTTTCAGTTGGCAGGTAACATGAGGATCCCAGGGTTTTGAATCAAAAAAGTAGAAACCTACAGTCTTCTTGGTCTTTTGCAAACTCCTGGACAAAAATTCTCTTGATTGTTTTGTGTTGTTCTCTGGTTTTGCTGCATGTATGTCTGGATGGGAAGAATAAGAGACCACACCTCCCATATCTTAGTCTTTTTGGTCTGCTATAACAAAATACTATAGATTATCTTATAAACAACAGAAATTTATTTCTCACATTTCTGGAGGATTGAAGTCCAAGGTCAAGATGCCAGCAGATGCAGGGTCTGGTGAGGGTCTACTTCCTGGTTCATAGATAGCACTTTCTCACTGTGTCATCACATGGTAGAAAGGCAAACAAGCTTCCACAGGCCTATTTTATAAGGGCACTAATCCCATTTGTGAAGGTTTTGTCCTCAGAGCTAATAACCTCCCAAAAGTCCCCACCTCCTAGTACCATCACCTTGGGGTTTAGGATTTCAATATATGAATTTTGAGGAGACAAAAACATTCACACCATAGCTCCCCAACACTTTGATCTACTCTTCTGGATACCTACGTGGTTGTCCATTCATCATTTGACAACTATTTATCGAATCCTTACTCCATGCAATGCCCAATTACAGTATAAGTGCTAGTGATACAGTACCTACCTGCTGATGGAGAAATATAATTTTGCCATTATAACTGTGGCAAGTGCTATGAGGAAGCACGGAAGCTATGAGAATGACAAACAGGGAATGTCTTGGGAGGTCATCAAAGGCTTTCTAATCAAAGTGTCTGCTTATAGAAGTAGAATTAACCTAGCCAAAAGAGAGTGGAAGAGCATTTTAGGTGGAACAGCAAGGACAAAGACCCTGAAGCGGAAAAGGTAAAAAGTGGACAGCATAAACTATTCTAGTTACTGGGGCCAAAAGACAGTAAGGCCAAGAGGGAGAAGATAAGGGTGAGATAAACCCTAAGCCTTGAAACCACATTAAGTATTTGTGTTTGTTTTATTTTCTGTGTGAGAAATATTTGATCTCCTACTTGGACCCAGTGGAAATATTACCCTTTATGTCTTGACTGTCTAATGAGTACAGTTTAACCCAAATTACATAAACTTAAGAATTTTCATCTAAAAAGCATTCTTAGCAATTAAATCAATTTCATTCCTTGATAAATTACCATACAGAA